CCCTCTGAAAGGCCCTGTCCGTAGTATAAGATTTCCCAATATTTTTCCAGTGTACTACAAGAACGTGACGATAAAACTATGGCACATTCAACGTTTTTCATCTTGTATATAGGTATTCGGGTGCAGACATCGGAATTGTTTGTCGTGACGCTCTCATGCAACCAGTAAGGAAAGTACAGCAAGCAACACATTTTAAAAGAGTAAGTACTAGAGCCAATGAGTGAACTCTATAAATACTGGAACGATAAGTCCAGATAAACGGGCCCTATGATTGCGTGAACTTGTTTTTCACTCGTCAAATATAACTTTGCTTCTTGTGATGAAGTGTTTCTAAAATTCGCTTATTTTAGTTTCTTAGGGCTACGGTAAAACCGGACTTAAAAAATAGTCGGCCGAAACATGAAATTTCTATATGAAATGATGTCGATTTTTCGTACTGAATTCAGTGAATTTCCACGTAGGGGCCTAGGGCATACCTACAAGACGGGCTTCATTAGCCGTTTTGTTCGCCGATAAAAACCTGCCTCCTCCGCAGGCCCTCGTTGTGTCATGGGAAGGTCACGATTTCGAGAGGGCCTGCGGAATCTTGTAAAATGAATAAATGTTGTTTTGAACCTGCTTCGTTAAAGAAGGCAGTTTTATTCGTGCAACGTTGGTGTGGACAACAAACCTTATCGTTAAAAAATGCTTCCTTCCACGTCCTAAGAGTCGCCAGTTTAATTTATAAGTTTCACGCCGCTTTTTTATATCTGTTTATATTCAAGATTATGTAGAAATTTACTTGCTGACGTGACGCCGGCGCCATTTTTTTTACAAGATTCCGCAGGCCCTCGCCAGAACGTGACCTTCCCATGACGCAACGAGGGCCTGCGGAGGAGGCAGGATAAAAACAATAGGAAGGGCCTGGAACTGACGTCTTATAGCTCTTCAATTTCCGCCATCTTGGCAAGGAGTGTGCCGAAATTTCGTAATTTGACTTCGATTTAAAGACTAATATATATATATGTTATTTACCGGCTGCGAGGTCCGGATGAGAAAAACTGTGCCCGAGGTCTAGGGCGAGGGACGTTTTCAAGACCGAGGGCACAGTTTTTCTCATCCGGACCGACGCTGCCGGCAAAGAACGTGTTTATTTTTTATCAGATGTAAAAATTAAATTGATTAAAATTCCAGTGTTGCTTGCGAACTAATTGAGATCAGTGCAGTTGTGTATTTTCAAAGCGAGGCTGACAAAAATTGAAAAATTAAAAGATATAAAACACGAATACGAAAACTCGAGGAAACTGGCAAGAAACACAAAAAGACGTATATAGTTTCAGTAAAAATGTACATGCTTTTTTCATGAATATGGTAGCAGAGAAGCTTTGGAATAAAAACTTTTATGCCTGGCGTTTTGGCTTTGGCTTTGACAAGTTGCTCCTGACAACGACAGGTTCATGTTCAGATCCGATCAAAAACATATAAAATTGTATTTTTCTTGTCGTTTCACGATAATATGCTTGAAAAAAGTGTTTTTAAACACAAACTTTTACTTTGTTCACAATATTTATATCAGTGAAAAATACATGACACAAATGGGTAGAGAATATATTCGTGACTTGTTTTCACTGCTGCAGTTAAACCTTCTTTTATAAATGGGAACACATTTATTTTACAATATCTGTTTAAGCTGTAATTTTTTCGCTTTTAAGTGGCCGAATACATGAGCATTTAAAAAATATATAGTTTTCTCGACGTAAGTTTTATACATGTCAAATACTTTCCGACTTTCAGTCGCATTTCTATCCAAATATTGTCAATTCTCGTGAACATCGTGCTTAGTATATGAAGCCTTTAGGGCTTGATGCAATTCATTTTCGTATTCTGACTATCGTTAGGCTATGTTTTTCAAACGTTTTTGGCAGATTTTTTCGTTTAAAAATTGTTTCACTCCTCAGTTTTTGGCGCGAAAACCAGAGCGGGCAGTTGCATTTCACAGCGGGCAGTTGCGTTTCAGAGCGGGCCGGATGCAAAAAACCGGCCCGCTCTGAAAGGCTCCTCAGCCAATCAGATTGCTTCATTTTCACTGATAAAAAATAATATGATTTTATGAACTGAAAACTTGATTAGCGATACTGTCCGTTAGAAAAAACTGGATTTGGGGGAAAATGGTACAAAAACTGTTTACGACCTTCGGAGCTATTAGACACCTTAAGATTGACGTTTACGGCAAACGTCAAACCGCTAACAAAATGTTTGATTTTACAACTCTATTATAACAGCTTTTAAAGCAGTTTTGAAATATATTAAACAATTATTAAACTTGTGGTATTTAGCAATTATTTAAGAAAGCAAATTAAACACTAGTCACGTATTCACCAAAGCAGTAAATTAAGATTTGGCGTTTGAAGTTGACGTTTGGCGTTCATGCTTGAACGACTACAAGCCCTCGTATAGCTGTTCAAGCATGAAATTTATACGCCAAACGTAAACTTCAAACGCCAAATCTTAATTTACTGCTTTGGTGAATACATGATTAGTGGTTAATTTGTTTTCTTAAATCAGTGCTAAAGAGCACAAGTTTAATAATTGTTTGATATATTTCAAAACTGGTTTAAAAGCTGTTATAATACAGTTGTAAAATCAAAAATTTTGTTAGAGGTTTGACGTTTGCCGTACACGTCAATCTTAAGGTGTCTATTATCGCGCTTACCAGGCTGACCCACTAACTGGGCCAGCTTGACTTCACTATAAATAGCCCCTATTAAAACCAGAGTGGTGAAACATGATTGTATATTTTCTAGTACAATAGACAACTTGCATGTTAGACTAATTTTTGATATAGACAAGAAAAAGTAAATTCCCGTAAAGAACTTATTAAAATTGCAAAATTTGGTTACGAAATGTTGTAAAATACGGAAAATATAGCCTTGCGAAGTTTGCATATTTTGTATATGTTTGTATTACGTACGTGCGGAAGTTTTGTTACCATTTTTGAGCTGAAAATGGTAACAATTTCCGCACGGCCTAATTCCACGACGAGCGAAATGCGAAAACACACTTGCGCGAAAATTTTCTCTCGTATTGATTTCCACAGTAGAGAAAAAATTCGCCAAAACACAAGCATTTGATTGGCTTCGCTATTTTGTCATCAAAACACAAGCATTTGATTGGCTTCGCTATTTCCATTTCGCAACGGAGTAGAAACGAATCACTCCAAAATCATGTTGCGCATGCGTTCAACCTTTTCGCGCGAAATTTTTCGCATTTCGCTCGTCGTGGAATTAGGCCTTAGTACAAACATATACAAAATTTGCAAACTTTACAAGGCTATATTTTCCAATCTTTACAACATTTTGCAACCAATTTTTATGTTCTTTTTAGCTGTGGTATTTGGTTTCCTTCTCTTTACTTAGATTTAGTATAACATGCAAGTTGTCCCTTATCTCTCATATTTTCTAATTGATATTTATATTTTTCATGGTTTTTTTTTATTGTATAGACGAGCGGTAAGGCTATTGGTGATCCAGACAGAATCGTCGACGATTTACTAACCCCGTGTTCTCCTGGTACAGTAACGCATTGTTTTTAGTAAAAAAATACCGATAATACTGATATATTGATATTTTTCCGCGATTGTATATTGCGTAATTTTAAGCAAAATTTTCTGTCTCCAAATGACGCCAAACATTTAATAAAAGACGTTTAACAATACAATGATATTTTTAGTTTTTGATATTTTTAGATTTTTTTTTTAATACCATTTGCAATCAGTTATCGTTGTTTACGTTGTAAAAGTTCAACGCCAACGTAAACAAATACGTTTTACTTTACAGCTTTTCCTGCCGGGTTATTATTATTATTATTATCATCTTTATTATGGTCAATTAATCATATATTACAAAGAAGAAAAAAAAACGTATAAAATATTCAATCAAACTATTAATAGAATATAGACCCTAAATGGGCAAGGTATAAACGGGACTCAAAGAACCATGCAAGATACCTTCCCAAACGTTATTAAAACTAATTTATATAACATTACACACACAAGACACAACTCTACACACACCTAGTGCACCACAATTTACGTCCTATGACATGAACAGTCACAAAACAAAGACCACGTACATGACAAGTCAACATCATAAATAGAATCAACAATACTAGAGTATCTACGTTTAACTAAACATTTAAAAGAACTATACACATTGATCGTATTTGTCCTCCTTGAAATAACTCGAATCAGCGCTTGGAAAAGCTGGACGTTTAAATATACAAACGTAAACTGATACCAGTCATACCGACAAATATCGATATACTGATATATCGAAAATTTAAATATCGAATAATCGGTACTTATAAAAAAATGATAATTTTCGGTATATCGATATACCGCAACAGCGTGCAATTTTTCTTGCAACTTGCAATGCAATTCTACTCTTGAGAGATGTAAAATTGCCAAATACGAGTCTTCATTACACTCCGCTGATGTTTTCTCAACATATCGAAAATTCTTCACTGATTTCACTAATTAACATCTCTCAAGAGTAGAATTGCATTGCAAGTTGCAAGAAAAATTGCACCGTGTAACATGGCCTTTACACTTGCAATTTTCTTCTTCTGATGGATGTGAACGAGTGGATAAGTTATGAATAGTCAGATGAGGGTACACATGTACTCCGAATATTCTTAACTCATCTACTCGTTCACATGCATCAGAAGGAGAAAATCGCAGCAAAAATGCAAGTGTAAACCGGCCTTCATACGATGTTTCACGTGGGTAATTTTTGTTGTCTACATTTTAGGTGATGCCGGAGCCACGCCGATGAGCTGGATGGATGTGCCAGGGGACAAACTTCTGGAACCGCTCGTTGATATGGTAAGATCAGTTTTATTTGAAACTTACTCAATTGTTTTTAGTCTTTGCAATATGCCAGGGCTCGAAATAGCAGGCTGCCTTACTGGCCAAAAGCAGGCCGTATTTTAGAAATGGCTGGCAAAAACAAATTTGAACTGCCAAGTCAAAAAAATGACATGGGAAATTCTATAGATATATTTCATTTCATTTGCTTACCACAACTCATATATACTATAGATCATTTAGTTGACTAAATATACGTTGATATTTGAAATGTAAATCCAAGTTTACTGTAGTAAAATAGACAAGTTTAAAAATAACAAAAATGCATATCATGAAAACAATGATTTTTACAATATGATTCATGAGACATCGCCATTTTGGCAGTTCAATGAATAAAATGGCAGTCAAAATTTTTTTTTTCACCCGCCAAAACGTTTTAGTCTGGCAGGCCATATTTTTTCTCTACTTCGAGCCCTGACTATGCTGTCATGGTTTGTGCTTGAATTACCTGAAAAAGATATCTCCAATGTGGTGGTCCAGTGTAGATAGTATTCTTCACACGAAAGCCCTGGGAACGAGGTTGGATAGTATTTTATAATAACCTGTCGTGGTTTGTGTTAGAATCAGTGAACTCTATACACCCTTTTCATAAATGGCTGCCGATTAAAAATTCTTTTATGTGCTTATAAATTGGCCCAACTAGCCTCGTTTCTGGGTAGAAATTTCTTTGAAATCTTAACATGAGTACGAGGCTAGTTGGGCCAATTTATATGCACATAAAAGAATTTTTAATCGGCAGCCATTTATGAAAAGGGTGTATAGATACTGGAACGATAACTCTAGGTATAGACCCATTGCAGTGACGTCACAAATCCTTAAAGTGTCCTCCAGATGCTCCCTAACGATATCTGTTCGGGTACAACCACAAAATTATTATAAAGTTTTACAAAATTTGCTTTGTTTACAAAAGTTATATTATGCACAGATTGCTAATTTGTCCTCCAGATGCATCGTCACCAGCGCTGTGACGTCATGTGCAATGGGTCTATACCCTATGATTGGGCGAAGCCAAGATGGCGGCCTATAGACTATAGAATACGTAGAACACGCGTGGAATTCGCGCGGGAACTGAAAATGACTAAAGGCCATGTTACACGGTGCAATTTTTCTTGCAACTTGTAATGCCATTCTACTCTTGAGAGATCTTAATTAGTGAAATCTGTGAAGAATTTTCGATATGTTGAGAAAACATCAGCGGAGTGTAATGAAGACTCGTATTCGGTAATTTTAAATCTCTCAAGAGTAGAATTGCATTGCAAGTTGCAAGAAAAATTGCACCGTGTAACATGGCCTTAAGTTTCCGATCGATGTTTTTCAGTTTTTGCACATAAATGCTCATTTTTAGTGGTAAATACCCTACTTAAAAGCCAAAAACTAAATGAAAAGGTCAGATTGGGGCAACTGCAGTCCATGTTGTTCTGTGTTTAGTTCAAATCCCTCACAGGTTGTACAGAAAAACAAACGTTTGCTGGTGTTTTCCCACGGGGGTTTTTTCTGAACTTGTTTTTCACTCGTCAAATAACTTTGATTTTTATGATGAAGTAAACACTACTTGCGAAAAACAAAATGGCGGTCGTTTTGTAGCGAATTTTCGGTAAAGTTTCTGAAGAAATTGTGCCATATTCTTCATTTCACACATTCTCAGTTTAGTACAAAATTCAATAATAATCAGCAAATTATATTAAAATACATTGTGAAAATCAACCTTTGACACATTGTTTTTGCAAAACGCCATTCGCAAAATGGATGATTTTGCGTTCGCAAAAAGCGAACTTGCATTCGCAAATTGCGAATAGCCAGCTGCTAATTCGAACCCTGGGTAGAAAAGACAAAATTCTGCCATGAAGCATCCGCGGTTTTGGTAATATTGTGCAGCCTACATATTCGTCCCCCTTAATAAAACTTCAGGAAATGGCCGCCATGATTAAAATGCTTTTGTCTCTGTAGGGTGATATGTGTCGATCACTTGCCACGACCAGACCGACAGTAAACCAAGACGATCTCAAGAAATATGAAAAATTCACAGAAGACTTTGGTCAGGAAGGATAGTTAGTATACATAAATAATTTTCATAAATTAAAACACGCCAATCTTTTCCTCGCCATATGCTAGCGAGACAAAGTTGTCGGTTGGACAAACTTTATAATTTTGAACTGTAGAATATCACTGCTAATTTCAACTTGTAAATGTATAAAAGCACGCATATAAAACAAAGATTGAAATTTTGACCATTCCACAAAACTTTCCACAAATCCACAGGTTTTGACGAGTTCCAAGACTTATGTGACTAAGACCCCATTCACACGATACCGGCATGGAATTGACAACTTGCATGTTAGATTAAATTTTAATCTAAGTAGAGAGAAGGGATTTAAACACAACAGTTAAAAAGAACATATTAAAATTAGTAAAATTGCAAAATGAGCCGAAAATGGTAACATTTTCCGCACGTAATACAAATATACTGAAAATATGGAAACTTCGCAAGGCTATATTTTCTGTATTTTACAACATTTCGCAACCAATTTTTGCAATTTTACTAATTTTAATAAGTTCTTTACTTCTGTTCTTTACTTTTTTTTTTCCTAAATCAAAAATTAGTCTAACATGCAAGTTGCCTATTCTGCCGGCAGAAAATCACGGTTTCAACTGTTTCATTTTTCGACACTTTTTGAACCTGCATGTAGTTACTTTAACGGGTTTAAAAAGCATTGTCGATTTGTCGTTTCAAAAGTACGTCCTGTTTCCGCTATCCGCTACTGACTACAACCACAACCCGCGCTACTTCATCTGCGCCAGCAGCTGGGAAAAGTTAAGGCTATAGCTTTACTTATTTGGCCGATTTTCGACTCTTTCAAAAATCGAAAAAGTGGGTGAAAATAGACGAAAAATTAAGGCTATATATATAGCCTAAAAATTAAAGGCTAACCCATTTACTTTTTCAGAAAAATTAGGCTATATAGCCTTAATTTTTGGCCTATTTTCGACCCTTTTTCAAAAATCGAAAAAGTGGCTGAAAATGGACGAAACCTTAAGGCTATAGCCTTACTTTTTGGTCGAATTCCCGCCCTTTTTCAAAAATGGAAAAGTGCCTAACTTTTTGTGCCTAACTTTCCAAAAATGGAAAAGTGCCTAACTTTTTGTTTTAATTTCCATTGAATTTCAAGGCCCCTCTAGCCGAGAAACGTAAATTTACGCCAGTCCGAAAATTGTACCGTTGGAATCTTCGGTTAATAGGCTTTCTGTCGATGCCTTATTGGAGCATCCTAGACCATCCGTGGACATAAAAATTCGGTTTTTCCAGCTGCATGTGTAACCGAAAAAGACGTGAAACGGTGAAAGTTAATATTATGCGTTTTCGAACCTTATGTTCTATTGAATTTCAAGGTCCGTGCAGGACAGACTTGAATTTACCACGGTCTGAAAATTGTATTTTTGGAATCTGCGGTCCATAGGCTTTCTGACGATGCCTTATATCGCTGATAACAAGGTTCTTTACGCTGATAACAAGGTTCCTCACGCTGAGGACAACGTTCCTCACCCTGAGGACAAGGTTCCTCACGCTGAGGACAAGGTTCCTTACGCTGATAACAAGGTTCCTCACGCTGAGGACAAGGTTCCTCACGCTGAGGACAAGGTTCCTCATGCTGAGGACAAGGTTCCTCACGCTGAGGACAAGGTTCCTCACGCTGAGGACAAGGTTCCTTACGCTGATAACAAGGTTCCTCACGCTGAGGACAAGGTTCCTCACGCTGAGAACAAGGTTCCTCACGCTGACGACAAGGTTCCTCACGCTGACGACACGCGCGGAGGTCGTCGTACATGCTCGTCACTCAAACTTGTAAGTTATGATGTAGTTTTTAACTGACAGATAGAGAAGTGAGAGAACTTAAAGCGTAGATAATGTACCATGCATTAAACTCTTAATAAACCTATTATTATTATATTATTTTATTAGAATCTAGTTTTCCGTGAAACTGCTTTTTTAGGACACGTGAATCGTGAAACGTTTTTTTTTTTTCGTTGTGATACGTGATCCATCCCCTTCCCACAATCATAAAAATACGGTTTTTCTAGCTGCATCTGTGATCGAAAAAGACGTGAAAGTTAATATTATGCTGTTTTGAACCTTATGTTCTATTGAATTACAAGGTCCGTGTAGCACAAACTTGAATTTGGGCCAGCCTGACAGTTGTATTTACTTTTTGTCCCAATTTTACACCTTTTTTCAAAAATGGAATAAGTGGCTGAAAATGGAATAAGTGGCTGAAAATGGACGAAAAGTTAAGGCTATAGTCCTAACTTTTCGTTTTAATTTCCATTGAATTTCAAGGCTCCTCTGTAGCAGAAACGTGAATTTACGCCAGTCTGAAAATTGTCTTGTTGGAATCTTCGGTTATTAGGCATTCTGTTGATACCTTATTGGTGGACAAAACAATTCGGTTTTAGCTCCTGCATGTGTAATCGCAAAAGACGCGAAAGTTAATATTATGCCGATTCGAACCTTATGTTCTATTGAATTTCAAGGTCCGTTTAGCATAAACTTGAATTTGGGCCAGCCTCAAAATTGTATTAATGGAATCAAAGGTCCATAGGCTTTCGATAGACTTACATTTTGGCCGATTTTCTACTTTCTCAAAAATGGAAAAAGTGGCTGAATATGAACGAAAAGTTAAGACTATACTCTTACTTTTCGGGCAATTTTCGCCCTTTTTCAAAAATGCAGAAAGTGGGAGAAAAAGGACGAGAAGTTAAAGCTATACCCTTACATTTTGGGCAATTTCCGCCCTTTTTTCAAAAATGGAAAAAGCGGGAGAAAATAAACGCGAAGTTAAGGCTATACCCCTACTTTTCGGCCAATTTTCGACCTCTTCAAAAATGGAAAAAGTGGCTGAAAATGGACGAAAAGATAAGGCTATAGCCTTACTTTTTGGCCGAATTCCCGCCCTTTTTCAAAAATGGAAAAATGCCTAACAATGGACGAAAAGTTAAGGCTATATTCCTAACTTTTCGTTTTAATTTCCATTGAATTTCAAGGCTCCTCTAGCAGAAACATGAATTTACGCCAGTCTGAAAATTGTGTTGTTGGAATCTTCGGTTATTAGGCTTTCTGTTGATGGCTTATTGGTGGACAAACCAATTTGGTTTTAGCTCCTTCATGTGTAATCGCAAAAGATGCGAAAGTTAATATTATGCTGATTCGAACCTTATGTTCTATTGGATTTCAAGGTCCGTGTAGCAAAGACGTGAATTTGTCACGGTCTAAAATGGCATTTTTGGCATCTACTGTCCAATGGCTTTCTGCTGATGCCTTACTCGTGCATCACTTGACGAATGTAGACATAAAAATTCGGTTTTTCTAGCTGCATGTGTAATCTCAAAAGACGCGAAAGTTAATATTATGCTGTTTCGAACCTTATGTTCTATTGAATTTCAAGGTACGTGTAGCAAAGACGTGAATTTGTCACGGTCTAAAAATTGTATTTTTGACATCTACTGTCCAATGGCTTTGTGCTGATGCCTTACTCGTGCATCACTTGACGAATGTAGACATAAAAATTCGGTTTTTCTAGCTGCATGTGTAATCGAAAAAGACGCGAAAGTTAATATTATGCCGTTTCGAACCTTATGTTCTATTGAATTTCAAGGTCCGTGTAGCACAGACTTGAATTTGGGCCAGCCTCAAAATTGTATTAATGGAATCAACTGTCCATATGCTTTCGTTAGACTTACTTTTTGGCCGATTATCTACCTTTACCAAAAATGGAAAGAGTGGCTGAGAATGGACGAAAAGTTAAGACAATACACTTACATTTTGGGCAGTTTTTGCCCTTTTTCAAAGATGCAGAAAGTGGGAGAAAATGGACGACAAGTTAAGGCTATAGCCTTTCTTTTTGGCCAATTTTTGACCTTTTTTCAAAAATGGTAAAAGTGGGTGAAAATGGACGAAAAGTTAAGGCTATAGCCTTACTTTCTGGCCGAATTCCCGCCCTTTTTCAAAAATGGAAAAATGCCTAACAATGGACGAAAAGTTAAGGCTATATTCCTAACTTTTCGTTTTAATTTCCATTGAATTTCAAGGCTCCTCTAGCAGAAAGATGAATTTACGCCAGTCTGAAAATTGTGTTGTTGGAATCTACGGCTATTAGGCTTTCTGCTGATGGCTTATTGGTGGACAAACCAATTTGGTTTTAGCTCCTTCATGTGTAACAGAAAAGGACGCGAAAGTTAATATTATGCTGTTTCGAACCTTATGTTCTATCGAATTTCAAGGTCCCTGTAGCAAAGACGTGAATTTGCCACGTTCTAAAAATTGTATTTTTGGCATCTACTGTCCAATTGCTTTCTGCTGATGCCTTACTCGTGCATCACTTGACGAATGTAGACATAAAAATTCGGTTTTTCTAGCTGCATGTGTAATCGAAAAAGACGCGAAAGTTAATATTATGCTGTTTCGAACCTTATGTTCTATTGAATTTCAAGGTCCGTGTAGCAAAGACGCGAATTTGCCACGGTCTGAAAATTTTATTTTTGGCATCTACTGTCCAATTGCTTTCTGCTGATGCCATACTCGTGCATCACTTGGCGAATGTAGACATAAAAATTCGGTTTTTCTACCTGCATGTGTAACAGAAAAGGACGCGAAAGTTAATATTATGCTGTTTCGAACCTTATGTTCTATCGAATTTCAAGGTCCCTGTAGCAAAGACGTGAATTTGCCACGTTCTAAAAATTGTATTTTTGGCATCTACTGTCCAATTGCTTTCTGCTGATGCCTTACTCGTGCATCACTTGACGAATGTAGACATAAAAATTCGGTTTTTCTAGCTGCATGTGTAATCGAAAAAAACGCGAAAGTTAATATTATGCCGTTTCGAACCTTATGTTCTATTGAATTTCAAGGTCCGTGTAGCACAGACTTGAATTAGGGCCAGCCTCAAAATTGTATTAATGGAATCAACTGTCCATAGGCTTTCGTTAGACTTACTTTTTGGCCGATTAGCTACCTTTACCAAAAATGGAAAGAAGGGCTGAAAATGGACGAAAAGTTAAGACTATACACTTATTTTTCGGGCAATTTTTGACCTTTTTCAAAAATGGTAAAAGTGGGTGAAAATGGACGAAAATTTAAGGCTATAGCCTTACTTTTTGGCCGAATTCCCGCCCTTTTTCAAAAATGGAAAATGCCTAAAAATGGACGAAAAGTTAAGGCTATATTCCTAACTTTTCGTTTTAATTTCCATTGAATTTCAAGGTCCGTGTAGCAAAGACGTGAATTTGCCACGGTCTAAAAATTGTATTTTTGGCATCTACTCTCCAATTGCTTTCTGCTGATGCTTTACTCGTGCATCACTTGACGAATGTAGACATAAAAATTCGGTTTTTCTAGCTGCATGTGTAATCGAAAAAGACGCGAAAGTTAATATTATGCCGTTTCGAACCTTATGTTCTATTGAATTTCAAGGTCCGTGTAGCACAGACTTGAATTAGGGCCAGCCTCAAAATTGTATTAATGGAATCAACTGTCCATAGGCTTTCGTTAGACTTACTTTTTGGCCGATTAGCTACCTTTACCGAAAATGGAAAGAAGGGCTGAAAATGGACGAAAAGTTAAGACTATACACTTATTTTTCGGGCAATTTTTGACCTTTTTCAAAAATGGTAAAAGTGGGTGAAAATGGACGAAAAGTTAAGGCTATAGCCTTACTTTTTGGCCGAATTCCCGCCCTTTTTCGAAAATGGAAAATGCCTAAAAATGGACGAAAAGTTAAGGCTATATTCCTAACTTTTCGTTTTAATTTCCATTGAATTTCAAGGTCCGTGTAGCAAAGACGTGAATTTGCCACGGTCTAAAAATTGTATTTTTGGCATCTACTGTCCAATTGCTTTCTGCTGATGCCTTACTCGTGCATCACTTGACGAATGTCGACATAAAAATTCGGTTTTTGTAGCTGCATGTGTAATCGAAAAAGACGCGAAAGTTAATATTATGCCGTTTCGAACCTTATGTTCTATTGAATTTCAAGGTCCGTGTAGCACAGACTTGAATTAGGGCCAGCCTCAAAATTGTGTTAATGGAATCAACTGTCCATAGGCTTTCGTTAGACTTACTTTTTGGCCGATTAGCTACCTTTACCAAAAATGGAAAGAAGGGCTGAAAATGGACGAAAAGTTAAGACAATACACTTACATTTTGGGCAGTTTTTGCCCTTTTTCAAAGATGGAGAAAGTGGGAGAAAATGGACGACAAGTTAAGGCTATAGCCTTTCTTTTTGGCCACTGATTTTTGACCTTTTTTCAAAAATGGTAAAAGTGGGTGAAAATGGACGAAAAGTTAAGGCTATAGCCTTACTTTCTGGCCGAATTCCCGCCCTTTTTCAAAAATGGAAAAATGCCTAACAATGGACGAAAAGTTAAGGCTATATTCCTAACTTTTCGTTTTAATTTCCATTGAATTTCAAGGCTCCTCTAGCAGAAAGATGAATTTACGCCAGTCTGAAAATTGTGCTGTTGGAATCTACGGCTATTAGGCTTTCTGCTGATGGCTTATTGGTGGACAAACCAATTTGGTTTTAGCTCCTTCATGTGTAATCGCAAAAGATGCGAAAGTTAATATTATGCTGATTCGAACCTTATGTTCTATTGGATTTCAAGGTCCGTGTAGCAAAGACGTGAATTTGGCACGGTCTGAAAATGGCATTATTGGCATCTACTGTCCAATTGCTTTCTGCTGATGCCTTACTCGTGCATCACTTGACGAATGTAGACATAAAAATTCGGTTT